AAAAACTTTTATTTGTGACAAAAACTTTGAATTGTAAATTGCGTGCTGATCGGCACGCAATTTCGTTTAAGGGATAAAGAAAGAGAAGGGTTAGTCATATGACCAAGCAAAAATAATATCTTAATTTTCATCCCTTCTATTCTTTATTCATCATTAATAATCAGAAAAATTTAATTAAAGCCAACAGATTATTATTATCTATCATGTGTTTAAATAAGTGATCCTTAACTAATAATTACAGGTTCGCCAGTCCAACGAATCATTAGAAAGGGTTATAACTAATCACAAATTATCAACCCATGGAATAAAATATTTCTCAGTAACATTGTCGCCAATTGATGAGTGGACTATCCCATCCTATGGTCTCAGGATGAACCTTCAGAAATATGTAAAAATACCCCCATGGAGATCATTGATAATAATATATATGAAAATTAAAACTGAGGAATCGTTTGTTATTCATCTTATAAGTATGAGGGCGGATCCAATAAACACCTATAGGTGTATGGAACCTCCACATTATAGATTAAACTGGAGCTATCCGCACAGACCCATGGCATAGAAGAGGAATAATAAATTCATCCATAATGAATTCATTGCAACACTTGCCTTTCAGTATATAGCAGTAATTATGTTGTGAAGATAGAGTTTATGTAATTATGAGATAATAATTAAAATTATAATTCCTATATATATATAACCAGATTGAACACGTTGAAAACAATATATAAAAGGATGTGGCTAAAATTAGATAGAAAAAACTGGTTTATTAATGATACATAATTTACATGGGGTTTATATATATCCAAATCAGGTAAAGCAATTTTTATGTCATATGAAAGCAAAACCCCTAATTTGGTAACAAACATCTTGACTTTGCCTGTTTTCTTTGTGCGTATGCATTAAATTATTAATAGATTGCCATAAGAGCAAAAAAGCTCGAGTTTTTAATTGTAAACATTGATTGATGTTCCAGTGAAGCACTAATTAATTGTACTATAATAATAAGTGACAAATAAATAATAAATATTGATATAATACTGTCATATATATATATATACCTGGCTGGTAATAAAATTCTTATGTACTATATACCATTATCCTTGTCATAAATAAAAATAGTAAAAAATACAAATACAGTCAGAACTCATTAAAGTCAATGTTACAAAAAAAAATCTTTTTCCTCTTAGAGATATATATGAAGTACATATATATATATGGGATTTAACTAAAATGGAATTGAAACTCTTTTACAAAACCAGTTTCGAAACAAGTAATTCCTCTTTATCTGTCCAATTCAGTCTCTGTGTTTGTTATCATGACTGAAAAACATTCTCCAATTCTTCGTATTTTTCATTATCAAGCACTGCTACAACTACTCTCTTGTATCATAAGGGATTGTAACTATGGAAATTTGAATATTTTTTCTCAGCATTTGGTCAGTTTTAGACATCATGAACTTTAAAATAATAAAAAGTTAATTTTAGACAAGAAATTCAATTAATTGTAATGTTGAATTTGACATTTAGCTTTGAAACTAATTCAAAACTGGTCTGATTTGACATTTGTTTTAACTTTGAAACTGATTCCAATTTGACACTTGTTTTAACTCCAAAACTGTTCCAATGAAACTGATTCCGATTTGATACTTGCTTTAACTTCAAAACTGATTCAAAAATGTTCCAATGAAACTGATTCCGATTTGATACTTGCTTTAACTTCGAAACTGATTTGAGATTGTTCCAATGAAACTGATTCCAATTTGATACTTGCTTTAACTTCGAAACTGATTCAAAAATGTTCCAATGAAACTGATTCCGATTTGATACTTGCTTTAACTTCAAAACTGATTCGAGACTGTTCCAATGAAACTGATTCTGATTTGATACTTGCTTTAACTTCAAAACTGATTCAAAAATGTTCCAATGAAACTGATTCCGATTTGATACTTGCTTTAACTTCGAAACTGATTCAAAACTGTTCCAATGAAACTGATTCCGGTTTGACACTTGTTTTAACTTCAAAACTGGTCCAATTGTTTCATCTTTACAAGAGATCTTGAAATAAAGAAATCTATACAAATTTTTGAATATAAATACAAGATGTTTTTACCAAGCTATACCAATAAAAAATTTAAATATCTCTTTAATAATATAGCAAGTATATAAATTACTAAAAATCAAAATTCTTTTTCCTGATTTAAACATTAAAAATCACATTTTCTTTTCCCGATTCAAATATACCATTATATCTTAAAATGCCCAAACCTAATAAAAGACAAATTCACATTGCAAAACTAGCCCAAAATAAAAGACGAAGTAGTGATCCAACACATGTAGATAATGTCCCAAATACCAGTGATGACATTGAAATGAATTTAAATGAAGATCTGAGTTCTGAAGCCAGATCTGAAGTTGAAGTTGAACCCGAAGTTGAATCTGAAGTTGACGCCGAAGTTGAACCCGAATCTGACTCAAGTTCTGACGATGATAAACCCTGGGAGAATATGGATATGAATAAAATTGAAAATTTTACCATTGTGAATAACACTTCAATAAAAAGCAGGTCTTTTTATATGGGAAATTCAATCAGAACACAACAAAGACGTTCCAAAGTGTTGAGAGATGCATCAGTTGGATCTTCTAAAATTACCAATTTTTTCAATATCCAAACTTCTAATAGAGATCAATCTGAAGGTGATGACTGGAAAAATAGAATGGATTCTGTTGAAGAAGCTCTTAGAAACCCCGATTTAGACAATGATGCAAAGTCTAGGTTAACAGCAATCGGGATGTATTTTAGAAATTTAGATGATGGTAAAAAAAAGGTTGAAGCAAGTGAGATAGTGGCAGTATCTCTAGGTTGGACAAAAAATTATAAAAGTAAATGTATTAGAGCGTGGGCTAAACAATGGATTAGAAACAATACTGTACCTACTTCAAAGAGAGGAAAACATCCTAAAATACAAAGCCTATGGAATCATGAAGACATTGCTGCTCAAGTAGGAAGTTATATACGATCTAACAAATCTGATATAACACCCAAAAATTTATGTGAGCATGTTAATGGTACAATATTGCCAAATATAGGAGTGGATAATGAAGATAAGCAAATATCTGAATCAACTGCAGAAAGATGGCTTAGAAGATTAGGATGGGTGTTTGGTACTTATAAAAAAGGGTTTTATTTTGATGGTCATGAGAGGGTTGATGTTGTAGAATATAGAGAAAAAATTTTAAAATTTATAGAAGAGCAATACAAACCTTATGCCCCTCACTTTGAAGGGAATGATTTGGAAAATAGAATTAACCCAGTGTTAGAAGATGGTGTTAAGATGAGAATTCTAGTAACACATGATGAATCTATTTTTCATGCAAATGATGGAAAAAGTCAAGGTTGGATGCTAGCAGGTCAACAACCTCTAAGAAAGAAAGGCAAGGGAAGAGGGATACATGTTAGTGATTTTTTGACAGAAACAATTGGTAGACTACATCTCAGCGAACAACAACAACAACAACATCATTCCCAATTACCTAAAGAAAGCCGTGAAATTCTTGAAATAGGATCAAATATTTGGTGGACAACAGAGAAGTTAAAGGATCAAATAATAAATAAAGCAATACCAATATTTAATGCCACTCATCCAAATTGCACAGCTCTTTTTGCATTTGATAATGCAACTTCACATGCTGCCTTCGCCAGCAATGCTTTGGTTGCATCTAAAATGAATTGGAATGATGGTGGAAGTCAGCCAACAATGAGAAATACTGTATTTGATGGTGCTGAACAAAAGATGGTTCATCCTGATGGAAAGCAGAAGGGGATGAGAACAATATTAACAGAAAGAGGTCTATATAAGGATGGATTGAGAAAAGTATGTCCTGAATGTAAAACAAAAAAATCAAGAGATCAAAACAGAAAATTAGATTGTTGTGGCTTGAAAATATTAGAATTACAACCTGATTTTCAAGCACAAAAAGGAACTATCCAAGAAGAAATAGAAAAAAGAGGTCACATGGTAGTATTTTACCCCAAGTTCCATTGTGAACTAAATTTTATTGAGATGTATTGGGGTGCTGCTAAAAGATATACAAGAGAAAACTGTGACTACAGTTGGAGTGGACTAAAAAATACAGTACCCTTGGCCTTGGATTCTATTTCTGTTTCATTAATAAGAAAATATGCACGTAGATCCTTCAGGTACATGGATGCATATAGGAAAGGATTGTCTCTTGGTGATGCAGAATATGCTGTAAAGAAGTATCGTTCTCATAGAAGAATTCCTAATGATGTATTGTCATCAATTATTAATAATTAATGAATTATATATATAGTTGTTTATTTATTTATTTTGTACTGAGTTACCTTTAAAATTCTTATTTTCTAAAATAAAATTTTCAATTCTTCCAATTTGTTTATTTTTAATATATCCAGTAAAGTATGATACAGTTGTTACGACAATTTGTAAAGTATAATCTATTGCCAAGATCATTAATGAATCCTCTTCTTTTTTTTCAATATCAATTACGTGGGCAGTAAAGCATCTATATAAAAATATGAAAATGGAAAAGATTTTTCCGTTAGCCAAATTGACTATGCAAGGCTACCTTGAGTAAAGACATAAGTTAGCTAACACATGAGCCATCTTAAGTGGGGTCACTCCTCCTATGAAGGTCAGTCAGTGAAAAGTTCCACCCACTTTATTAATTTTTGAAAAAATTAATAATTCACTGAACTTTCAACAACTATGAACTACCTAACACATTGGCCTGAACTCAGTGGGGTAACTGCTAAGATCATATAACAGGATGATTGTCACAGCCATAAATAAGTTCCACCCACTTTAATTTACTTGAACTTTTAGTAACACTTGCCTTGTATAGTGTGGTCATGCAATCCAAAATGATTTTTGATTAAAAACAGGATGTTTCGTTGTTATCATCTTCATTGAAGTACTTCCTGAACATTGAAGCATTCATCTGAGTATTTAAATCAACTCTTACACCAAATTCATAATTTATTATTAAAAATGGAATGGCAGAATAATTTTTTTTTGCGTAAAACTTAAAACCTAATTCAGATGGTTTTCTTAGATTATTAATAGATTACCATAAACTCAAATTTTTAAATGTAAATATTGATTGGTTCGGATTGTTAATTCAAATCCCAGTGAAGCACTAATTATATATATATGTAATTTTATTATTTATTATTCATGTCTCTTTAATCATTAAAATAAATAAATAAAAAACAAACAAATAAATTTTTGCTCAACAAATGAATAATAATGTAAAGTATGCCTTGACCCTTGCATTTGAATGTAACATGTAAAGCCAAATCATAGAATGCCATTTCGGCACGATGTACCTCAACCCTCGAATTCGAATGCAATGTAAAAAGCAAAGTCGATGCACGTTTTTTCTGCGATTTTTTGGTCCACAAGTGGGGTATATAGCAGATCTATTTATATGTTTTTGCAGTAATTTATTAGACTCTCGATCAATGCATCATTTGGCCATGAAACAGTCTATTTTATTAGGATGCAACGTAAAAAGTAAAACCGATGCATGTTTTTTTGCGATTTTTTGGTCCACAGGTGGGGTAACGGGTCTATTTATATGTTTTTGTAGTAATTTATTAGACTACTCGATCAATGCACCATTTGACCACAAAATAGTCTATTTTATTAAAAATAGCATCATTGATAATGAATGCTTCGAATCCGGTGCTAATTTTGATGCTCTGAACGAATATATATGACACCAAAGAATATCTATGAAAATTTAGAATGACCCAAGAGAATGTTGGTGTTACGAAAAAAATATGGGACAATCGCCCTATTTATATGTTTCGAATTTAATAAAATAGGCTATTGTCTTGACCAAAGTGATGTGATTTTTTTGCTCTTTGCAACGAAGACACAACCCCAAACCCAACTTAACTTTAATGTCAACGTAATGCAAAAATAAATAAAAATTTTGATCTTGCGTAGCATGGCATGCATGATTGTGTAATATGCAAAAAAGCAAAAGCTCATGTTAAAGGTTCTACCATCCAACTCCCCGATTTCTTTGAAATCCTAATTTATCTTAATTAAATGTATTACTTTGTAGAATTATTTTCAAGTTATTTTTTAAAATGATCAATCATTTAAATTAAGGTTTCTGGTCCAAACTGTTTTCTCAAAGCCCAAACTAGTTTGGGCAATTTGGACTTCTCAGCATTTTTTATAAACATGAACATTAAAAACTATACCAATCAACTTATTTTAACTTAAACAACTTTAAAGTAATTTTGCCCAATTCTGGCTAATAACAAAAAATAGTTTGGGCTTATAAAAAAGTAATTTTTGCCCAAAGTGTTTCAGCAATTTCAGCTACTAATAAAGAGAGTTTCAGCTGGAAATCTTGGGTTTACCCTGATTGACCAACAGACATTGTGCCAACTCCGTTATACTGACAGGATGTTTTACCAACAGGACATTATACTGACAAGACATTATACCAACAGGACATTATACCAACAAGTCATTTTCTAATATATTCTATCAATTTAGCATAATACAGCCAACCCCTCTAACAGTCAGTGTGCAAATACTTTCTCTTTTTTTTAATTAGTGTGTGTAACATTTGCTTGAATGCCAAGAATTTCTTTTAACATTTATAACACATAAACTTCTTAATAGATTAAAAAAATGATATAAGTGCTGATTGTCTATACTCAAAAATCATGAAATTTAAATATCAAATAAATTTCCAAGAAAAGTTTTTATTTGTGATTCAACCTTCTCGTTCTGCTTAGAATTCCTTTTAATATCACCTCCGAGATTTGCATGACAATTATTATTATTATTTGTACAAAAAAAAAACATACACATGCAATAGTAACTAAGCCTGAAGGAATTTCAAAGAAAACTAGTTTTAAAATTATCACCATTCCTAAAATGATTTATTTATGACGATTTTACAATTATTATTATAAAATTGCCAATGCTTAAAGATCTATAAGTACTCCAATTCTTCGAATATTTTTTTTTTTCGTTCAAAACATATTTCATTTTTGAAAAAAAATTAAAAATTAAAAAAAAATGATGATATTTTCAAATAAAAAAATCGATCATAATAATTATAACAGACCATTTTATATTCCAAAAATATTCTTTAAAGGATATTTAATAACGATCCTAATATTCGCGTCTTTTAGATTAATTTATTTACTTGATGAACTTACATGCCCAGAGGATGGAAGTGTATCATATTTCCACCATAGAAATAATATTACTCATATTTATAGTAATAATAATAGTAGTAGTGATAATAACGAGAGTAGTGATAGTAATAATAGTAATGATAAAAATAATCATACCACCAGCAGTGATAATATCGAAATAATAACAAACGATGAAGAACTTTATCTCACATTTCTTCCTCATAGTGGATTTCACAATCAAAGAATTGCTTTAGAGAATGCTATAGTTGTATCTTGGTTTTTAGGCAGAACATTGGTTATTCCACCATCTTTACTTGGATTCAGAAAACCAATGCACCAATTGGAAAAACTTTTGACAGAACTGAGACCAGAACCAGTAGAAATTGTTTGTAAAGACGCTAAAAAAAAATTTAAATGTATTAAATTTCATGAATCTTATACATTTTATCAATGGGATAAATTATTTGATTTAAGTATTATCAAAGAATATAATGTCAAGACTTTGCCTGTAGCAGATTACAGCGAGAAGACATTATTTAAGCTTTTAAATATAAGCGATCCTAAAAACCAAGTTCACAAATCATTCAAATATCACACCAATCATTCATTTTATGATTCTGATACTCCTGGCGCTAAAAGGTTAAAAGATAAACCAAATTGGGATTTCGAGTCTTTACTGGCTCTTAAGAATAATAAAAAAAAGCTTTTATATTTTGGTAGTTTGTTTGGATCGAATAGATTGATCCTTGATTCAAGTGATGCTATAACATTCAGGGACAAAGTAAGATCAACAATGATGCCAAATAATAAATTAATGTTGGAAGTTGTTGACAAAATTGTTGATAATTTAGATGGATTCTTGAATTTCATAACGATTCATGCTAGACTCGGCGACAGTCGTTTTCGTAGAGATAAAGATCGTCATCTCGCACAATTTATCGGTAATGTCGGTAATGATTTCCCGAATTTATCAAGTTTTCAACAAATTTCATATTCAAATTATTCATGCAAAGCTCAACCTCATACAAACGAAATTCCGAAATTATTTATCGCTAGCGATGTTAAGAAAGACAATGAATTGATTGGTCCTCTTATTGAAGCTTTCCCTTGTTTATACATGCTTTCGGATTTTTATCCTTTACTTGAACCTTATAAGACACTTAAGAACCCAGTAGACAATAAAATAATGTATAAGTTTTTATTACCTTTAACCGATCTTATGGTAGCTGCGAGAGCTTCAAATGTTTACGCTTTGCGTTTTAGTACATTTGGTAGATATTTAAATAGATATCATCTTTTTTTATTAAATAATAAACTACAGTACTCTAATTAATAAACAGTAGATTGAAAATTATTTGTATATATGTATAGTGAATATAATAAAGATTATCATGATTACATTAAAACCAAACTAGACGTTCGCTTTCAATTTACTAATATTTTCGTTATTTGTGAACGCCCAGTGAAAATACAATAGTTCCGATAATGGACCAACTAGTATTCTAGTATAAACGTATTATTAGTATTAGGCTTAATATCTCTGTAAAACATTATCAAGTTGATAACTGACCCAAAATTTATATATACATTTCATCAAAAAAAGTAAAAAACAAATCGGAAAACTTCTTCTTAAATAAATCAATCGTGAATATGAGTTCTTCTTACAAAGCAAAACTTTTCAACGTTATCCCTTAAAGAAAATTTATTCCAAATTTGGCGTAGATTTACAATTACATAAATAAAATTTTTTCAGTATAACTCCGAGTGTGGTGTAAAAATGTTTTCAAATATCGCCTGATCCAAAATTTCAATGATATGATTTAAAAAATACTATTATAGTGACCGACACCAGGAAATCGTTTTCCTAAATATAGAGCAAATAGGATTGTATGTGAGTATTGTAAATATCAAAGGCAGGAAGAAGGAATAAATGCTACAACTAATGATAATCACTCACATATATTTTGTATTCTATATGATGTTGCTTTATGTTTAAACTCAAAAAGAAGTTGTTTTTTAGAATATCACAGTAATAATATTTAAAGGATTTTGTCCAAATTCGGAAGAAATTTTTAGTACAAATTAAAGTAAATATCTGTATTCTAAATTGTTTTTTCTCCCCAAGTAACCTTGTTTATTAGAACAAGCATCTTCGCATACTTTGCGATTTTATACCGGATAATGACTTTTTCTAATTGTGAATTTCAAAAAAAACAAAAATTTTTGGATTTTTTTTGAATACATGTTTTTGCGCATTATTTTTTTTTTTTCCGAAGAAAAAATAATTAATATTAAATTATAAATGATGATATGTATAAAAAATGCCTTTTTCTAAAAAAAAAATAGAGTCCAAGTAATTTTTCCGTTTGGTGGGGTAACTCGAAAATCTACGCCAAATTTGGCATAGATTTCATTTCCTT